GCCACAAACCCTGATCCCAGTGGTGGGTGAGAGTAGCTTGCTGGTGGCTGGGTGGCACGGCTGGGCGGCATGGCGGGGTGTCACAAGGGGCAGGAGCCCTGAGCATGGCTCCATCCCCATCAGGGCTGTTTGCAGTAGCCTTTGAACATGGGGTGCTTTCACCCCAGTGGACCTCCTCCATCAGACCTTGCTCTTCCAGTCTTTCTTCTAGCTATTTATAAAAAAAAAAAAAGGCTTTATACAGCAAAATGCTTATGGTCTTTAAGTCTGTGAGCTGCCTTGGTGTCTTCACTTGGGTTTGCTTGTATACTGCCTCACCTCACCGGGCTGCTGCCAAACTCAGCATCGCCTGTCCCCATATCCCACACACTCCGTGGCCCTGCCCAAATCCCCGCTGCCCCCACTCCACCTGCCAGCACCTGACCCCGCTTGGTGTCCGACGTCCTTCCGCATCCCCCAGCCCATCCTCCCCCGCGGCTGGGGACGTGCCTGGCACCCACTTCAGGGAGGAGGGCACCTGCCTCACCCCAGCTGCTAGCCCTGTCCACTCCTCGGGGCAGGCATCTCGTGGTGTTTGCCTCACCCAAGTTATTTTGCAGCAGGCTGAAATTGCCGGGGATGGGCAACAACAACCCTGGCAGGCGTTGGCAGCAGGCAGCGTGACCGGCGGCTGACGGGATGAGGTGGTAAGCGGCAACGATGGCATTGATTCATCGCCTCCCACGCCAGGATGTGATGGGGAACACCGGGACCCGACTCACCTTGTCGCCTGCCTTTAGCAGTCCTTGTTGTGGTCCCTGGGGCAGCGCAAGCCCAGCTTGGGGCAGGGGGGTATCGGCTTGCTGGTGGGGTTTCCATGCATGATGCAGAGACGTGCCTTCAGCCACATCCAAGCATGCCATCCATCTCATTTTCTTTGCCAACACTAGATACCATTTAATTATTTCCTTGAATTTCCAGCCAAAGATGCCCTGAGAAGACCATCATTTGTGCAACCACCTCTCCATGTGACAAAGCACCAATTGAGCCTTCTGGTCCTGGGAGGAGAGTGGGCTCAGAAAGATGAGGTCAACACCCCATGGCGACCCAAGGATTGGCTTAAAATTGCAATGTGTGTCCTTGGAGTGGGAGCAACCACACAGCTTCCACCGGTGATTTGGTGAATCAATCCTGACCTCCTAGGAGGGTTGCTGCTGTGTGAATATGCCCATGAAGGTTCTTAATTCCTACCTATTTGTTGTCACCTTTCTCCTAAGCTCCAGGTTCACTTGCCACTGCAGCCAGCATTTTCCCATGTGCCTGCATGGGGTTAAGATCTTGAACCCACATTTAAGCACGTCGGCAAACACAGTGTGGCTTTGCACACCCTCTCTCTGAGCTTCTGCACCCAAAACACCCTGTTAATAATTATTTGCAATGTGAGACTTGGCATCTCAGCCTCTCTGGCTGCAAACCCCTGAGTGTTTCCCAAGGACCTCTGTCACCAGGGTGGCTTAAGGTTAGGGTTATGGTCAAAAACATGAAGATGCTTTGCCCTGTTTTCGCAGCTGAAGGCACTTGTAGGTTACGGGTGGAGGGAGGTGTGGGAGCATCCTGGATGGACACTGCAGCTGTGCCTGGGTTCTGCAGCCTCCAGCATCCCCTCCCACTACAGCCAGGAGTCAATAAAGCCGAACTGCTTGGACACTGCCAATGCAGATGTCTGTTAGCAGCTAAATACCTGCCAATCTTCCCTCCTTGCAAGGCCACCATTTCATAAAAAAAATTCCTTTCTCTCTCATAGCGCTAAGTTGTTGGGGGTGTTTAGCATTGCAACCCTAAATTGACTGGAGCAATGAGTGGGGATTTAAGGGCACGCCCCTGGGCAAAGGTCTCCTGCAAACTCCTTGGGGCCAGCCAGCTGCAGCCTCCAATCCCTGGAACCCGAAACAAGGGCCGCTTGTTCAGCACTGCTGGCAAGGCTGGGCTCAGCGGAGGAGGCAGCCAGCTTCTCTCCCTGTGGTATCCTGGGGCATCCCAAGCAGCGGTGGGTCAGTGCCAGGGGGGACCCCGACACCAGGCAGCTTTGGCTGGGGCAGGACAGGGTTGCTGGAAAGAAAGGGCCAGAATCAAGTGCAGGTCCTTGGAACCCCCTTTGCACCCCTTCATTTCTTTTCCTAGAATGGAAAGGTGTGAAACACATCAGGACTCAAAGGAAGCCTGTCCCTGTGGGTGGCACAGCAGTGTGACCTGCTCCTGCCTTGCCCTGGCCCCCAAAACCTGATATCAGAGAAGCATCCCATGACCAGTCCCAGCAGCTAAACCCCCTTTGGGATGTAGCAGCAGCTGGAGACCCCTGGGCACCAGCAGCCCCTTGAAGGAGGAAGATTAAAATGCCTCAGAAAGCCAAGACCTGAGGAGCATCTCAAGCATTAATGAACTTACTACAGATGCCTCTAAGGCAGAAACAAGAAGTTTGTTCTTGCAGCAGGGGTTGAAGCTGCAGCAGTCCTTGCTGGAGGGTGTTTTTGATGCTCCACCTTCGGAGCACGACAGAAAAGGGCAGTTTTTGATACCACATCTTTGGAGCAGGGCAGTAAAGGGCAGTTTTGATGCTACATGTTTGAGCCATGGCCTGAAGCAGCTGCATTTGTTCCCATATGATGCAACCCCGCGAACCCTGAGTTTCCTTCCTTTTTTCCCATTTTGGGCACGTTTTGCCCTGTCATGCCCTGCCGTGCTGACGGTGCTGGAGGAAGGCACATGGCACTTTCCCCCTGCCTCAGCAACTCGTGCCCTGTGACAGCTCACGTGGGTCTGTCCCCACCACCCTTGACTCAGCTAATTCCCCTTCACCCAAGGCATTGACTAGGTCCTGCCGGTGCCATCCAGGCATCAGCAAAGGCAATGGGTCAGAGCGGCAGAGGATGTCCAGGACCACCATTGCCACACCCCTGCACCAAGCTCCGTGATATCCAACCTGCATAAAAGTGGGATGAACATCTGTACCTGCTTACTGGGCATGTTTTGAGCATCCCATAATTAATGTTTGCTCAGTGATTGAGGCTGACGAGTGCTTAGCATTATTAGCGAATGATGAGTAGCTGATGTTGTTGATGCTGCTACCTCGAAACATCTAATTTCAGCATCTGGACTGAGCAAAAGGGCCAGGGGCCAGACTGCTGGTGCATAGACCCTGCCAGGCTTTGCATCTTTGGAGGTGGCTTCCTACCGAAGCCCTGCACACAGGCACCCCTGCCCTGCCCTGGCAGCCCTGAGTTTGCACCCACATGGTGGCCACAGTGACAGGGGCAGGACTTATGCCGGTGGCACAGTGGGACCAGCAGCTCTCCTTGCTAATGCAAGATGTGCAGAGCCTCCAAGCCCAGGGTAGAGGCAGTAGGAGTGGGCTTGGGGACACGGATGCAAGATGTTCAGGGGCCTAACCCAAAGCCCAATCCAATGTGTATTTAACCCATCTTGATGCACACGTATAAGACCAGATAAAAGAACTGAATGTCTGTAAAGTAGCAATGAGTTATCCCAGTCCTCCTTCCACACTGCTGAACATGGGAGTGAGGCACAAGCGCTCACACAGGGATGCTCATTTATTTAGTTATTGGGGGGAAAAAGCATTGGTGAGAGCGATGCTTGTGAAGCCTTTAAAAAAATTACTTTCTGATTATGCCAAGATTAAAAAAACCTGAGCCACTGTCATCTTTATCTCCTCTGTCCATAATCCTGCTGCCACCCAGCTGGCACTGCCCTGAGCAGCCAGTTTGTATTTTTTTATGAGGCTGTTCTGGGGAGCTACAAGGGATTTGGGGTACCGTGTCCCCAGGCAGCACAGTGGTCTCTAGTGGCAACCACTCACATCCAGCCCTGGGGAAAGAAACCTGCGAATCAATCTTGGGGGGCTGCTTGCTCCCCAGGAAAATTAGGAGCAGAGTCCAAATTGCCAGAGGAGAGGAATTCCTGCACGGAGTGTGGGGGTTGACTTGGTGCCGGGCAGAGTCCTGAGCACACCCACGGACCCCATCTGCCCTGAGCAGCCACACTGAGGACCCCCACCCATGCTCTCCACCCACAGACCTGGAGACCCATTTAAGCTCAGGCCCAGGCACCCAGTCCTGCCCTGGCTCCTGCGGTGCTGGTCTGCAGCCCTGGCTCCTGCATGGCTTGTCCTGTAGGCAGCTCATCTCCAGTGCCCTCTCCTGGCGGTCCATCTCCTGGATGAGTCCCAGAGCTGGGTTGCAGTCTTGTCACTGGCCCATCTCCTGCAGCTCCAGGAGCTGAGTGTCCTACAGCTCTGGGTCTCCTAAGGGCACTCTGTGAGCAGCCTGCACACCTAAGGCAAGATGTCTTGTGCTATAATCTCTTCTATAAGGGGGAATAGCTTGCTTGGGCTTTCTTTCTTCAACCTGGTCACCCATTTCTAAACAGTTTGTAGGTCCTTTACAGCTTTGAAGTCTTTCTCTCTCTGCTCAGTTTGGCTGGAGCTGCCTGAAGGACTTGCTAGCACATCAGCCTCCTCATGAAACCAAGCTGAGTGATTCTGGTGAGGCAGGGTCTTGAAGGCTTCCTTTGGGCAGAGATCCTGGGAATAAATCTTGGAGACTGAGCACAGCCAAAGTTAGCATTTTTAGTGCTTGGTTTCGTGCTTCCTTTAGCTCATGTGTGTGGCAATAGCTTCATTTATTTCTTTACAGAAAAGAAAAGTCCCCAGGTCCTACAGGGCAGGTAGGTGGTAGTCCTCAGTGTCACAGCAAAGGTGTCCTTCCTTCCTGGAGCAGTTGCATCTCCTGGCTTTATCCTAAGACCTAAAGGACTTCATATCAGGAGCAGAAATGAGCATCAAGTTTTGCCTGGTAGTCCATGCTCTCATGCAATGCTCTCATCCCCTTTCCTTGAGGTTTGCTTGCTGCAGGTTACAAAATCCTTCCCTCTCTACCAGAAGGTTTGCCTTCAACTGGCCCAGTCCCTTGTGCTGCTGGGAGGGAGGACTGCTGCCCTGCAGCCCATCAGCAGCAGGAGGGGACCCAAGCAGAGGGTACACCCACATTTTGAGCCCCCTGGATGTTATGAAGCCCATCGTCAAAGAAAATGTGGGGCTGGATCTGGGTGAGGATGGGGCCCTTGGGAGCCCCATCCATGAAGAAAGCCTCGTCGATGGCCAGACCCCATTCCCGGAGTGTCCTGATGGCTCGGATGCCCATGTCCCGGCCACTGCGGGCAGTCACCAGGTAGGTGCGGATTGGGGATTCTTCCTGGCTGAACTTCTTGCGCATTTTCCCAAGGTGCATGGCAAAAGCCTTCAGGGGACCCTGGAAGCACAGCAAGATACTTGGGAGCTGGTGAGAAATAAGGAGATGTCTACTCTGCCTGTACAAGCCACTCGTTCCTCTTCCCGGGCTTCTCAGGGCTCTGCAGAGCACAGGGATGCCTGTGAGGTGCAGGACTGGGCAGTGCTGGGACTGGTGCTGTGCACTGGGGTGCCTGGGAGGAAGGTGAACATTGTGGCACTCATCCTAATCCCAAAGTGACCAGGAATGTACATCCCACTGGGCAGTGCCTGTGGGTCCGAGTCCTGCAGGGACTTGCACAGCAAGAAGTCCCAGCCTACAAAAGGTGACGACGCGGGTAACCGCAACCCTGGATATTTGGGAGCTGATGCTCACTTATAAGGAAGCATCAGGCCAGATCCATCTCCAGTGGAACTCCAGATCAGGCCCACATCAGGGACCGAATGGTGGATGCAAAGGGAACCTGTAAGGATTTGTGTGGGTTTTTTTGGCTACTGAGGGCAAAGCCCTAGCGGGAGAGATGCTCATGGTGGCTGCAGAGCCTGTGGGTGCCCATGAAAGTGAGATGGCTTGCTCACCTCTCCCAGGGGTACAGCCTCCATCACCCGCTCATACTGCACTGCCCCCTCCAGCCCTTGCTCCCGGAAGACCTGGTCCGTCTCATCGGAGAAGAGCACAGCATCCCCGTCGAACACCACGCGGAGCAGGGTGCTGGGGGCCTGCACCTCCTGCTGGAAGACAAGCGCTGCCGAGACCCCTGCGAGACAGAGCAAAGTGGGTGTCAGGAGGGACGCCCCCTCCTGGGGGCAGCTCGTGCACGGCCAGCTCCTCCCTGAGCATCTGCTGTGGCCCTGTCCCACACCGCAATGCTGGGGTCTCCAAGACAGGGGGCTTTCTGTGGGGGTCAGCCCAGCCTTTCTAGGGCTGTGTTCTCCCCCATCGGGATGGACATGAAAGCACTGCTGATTGGAGGCTGATGTCTGGAGAGATAGTGAGGTCTGCTAAGAGATGATGGGTAGTTATGTAGCCAGGAGCAGCCCTCCTCCTGGGCCTCACTTACCCTGCCAAGCCTGGCTTTAATGCCCAGATTTAGCACTGCATGCTGTGAGTAATAGGGACTGGCACCTACACTTGATTGGGGTAATTGGCTTAATTACAGGTCTCTTCCTACAAGCTGGTCCCTGCCCACCCTCATCTGTGGACCCTGTCCCCCAGATGAGAGGCACTTGTCAGAGCAATGATGCTCTTCAAGGAGGCTCCAGGAATGTGCTGTGTAGCAAAGGAAAGCCCAGGCTGCAGATGATTTGCTCCTGACCTTGAAGGACCTTGGCCTGCTGATGTGCTCATAGACAAGCAAATTAATAAGGAGGCGATTAACCCCATTAAAGCTGTTGGGGAGACTGCACTCCCTCTGATCCAGGTCAAGCATGTGCTTACATCTATCACTGAGCACATGGTAACTCTGCTTGTACCAAGAAAGCAAATTTCTGTAGCATCCTCACAAAGCCCTGGGAATTGCTGGTGCGCTCTCACTGACTCAGGGAGCAGCCATGGGCAGCATCTTTGGATAGGAAGGCTTAAATGTCAGGCAGGGAATGACCAGCCCATGGCAGACCTATGGCCAGAATTATGCATAAAGTACTCAGTGACTTGTGAAGGCATCTGAGAAACCCTGGTGTATTTGCAGACTACTAGTGGGGACAGAAGAGATTAATCTGTTCAGGACTGTACTGGTAATCAATGTGCCATTCACCCCCTTGCCCCTGTGAGAGCACGAGCTCTGGCGTTGCCTCTTGGTACTGAGCTGCTTGGGAAAAGTGTGGTGGGATAGAGGGGAGAACGCACCTCTCCGGAGGGCATTGCAGACATCTGTCCTGTCAGCTGAGAGGAAGAGCTTGACCCCATGGGACTTCAGGTACTGTGTGGAGTCCTCGTCACTGACGAAGCAGAACTTGGAGATCTCCAGGCCTTCGGGTCAAGGGATGTGAGCAAAGTCTGTTATGGGGAAACATCCTCCTTGCAGCCTCCCCAACCCCCCCTCCCCGGGTCTCGGCATGCTTTGCAGAAGAGCTCGGGGCAATTCATTTCCGAGTACTGTGTGGAAAGTCTGTTCTTGCTGCATCTTCTTGCCCTGTTGCTCCTACAAAACTGCAGAGTGCAGTTAAATATTCCCTTCATCCCTCCCTTAAATGAGCCTTCCTGACAGCACTCTGGGATTTAGCTTTTTTTTTTTTTTTTAGAACTCTGTTTCTTAGTAGCTGCTTGAGTATGCCAAGGCTGTGCAAAATGCTGCCAGACGCCCTGGTGTGAAGGATATGGCTGAAGGGAGCCGGGCTCTGCCAAGGAACATGCACCCTGGGGGTGCTCTGGTACCCTGGACAAGCTGCATGGGGCTGCAGGAATTGGGCTTGTTTCCAAAATAATCCCTTTTCCTTGTATCCCCTGGCTCTGTATTTGCCACTGATGCTCCACTGTGGTGCCTTATCTGCTTCTCAACCTCCTGGGGGAAGCAGGCACCCTTGGGGATGGGGTCCCCACTTACCGTAGTGCTTGGCGCTGTTGATGATGCGCACACTGCTCTCTGGGCTGTTGTTGGAGAGCACCAGGATGTCAAAGAGGTCCTTCTCTGAGGGGTTGCTCTCTAGAATCTTCTTGTTCACATACTGCACTGCCTGCAAGGGGAAGATGAGACTCTTTTGGAGGGGCATGATGGCAATGGCTTTGCCGGGGCTCTTTTGCAGTTAAGGCTAGTGGTTTGAGCTGTATCTATCAGCTATGGCAAGGCTAGCATGTTATGGAGAACCAGAGAGAGAAAACATCTTGCAAAAGCCATCGCCAGAAGGGCAGGGAGCAGGACACCCCAACCAGGGAGGAGGTGGACATGTGGGACTGGTGAGGAACACATGTCTCAATGCCCTGTGATGAGGCCAAGAGGCCAGGACAAGGCATATCTGCACCTCCTGATGGGAGCTGAGACCTAAAGCTGGGAAAGCTGAGCTTTCACCCCATCCTGCGAGTGTCTGCATGTGACCCTAGCCAGCCGTGGGGCTCACCTGGATGAAGGCAAAGGCTGTGCCTGGTGGCAGGGGCTTGTCCTGGTTGGCCTGCTGGTGCCTTGTGTACTCGTCCTTGCCCTTCTCCAGGTAGAGCTTGTGCTCCTCCTCCAGGTTGAAGATGGCTCTGGTGGTCACCGCAATGACCAGTGCCTTGCTGGGGTCTTTCTGCAGGACAAAGAAGAAAGAGGGGTTGGGAGACAACAAAGAAGGAACTTGGGGAGGTGCGGTGAGCAGGGGGACACAGGTCTCCACCAACCAGGGTGGTGGGGCTGGGTGTTGGAGGCATCACCCATGCGTCATGGTTCCTGATGCCAGAAGGCCTTTGGAGAAGAGGTACCAAGCCAAATCTTCATCTTCAGGCCAAGGATGGGGCAGGTGGTAGTGAAACCCTAAGCTGTCTGGTAAGTGCCATATGCTTTGAGGACAGCTCACACTCATAATTTTGCCATTTGTGGGCACAGCACAGCCATGGTCACCTGTTTGTGCTGAGCTGTGCACTGCTGGGTTATTCTGCACATACTGGAGGTTTTACCCTTCACTTGTGTCTGTTCTGGAGAGTCTAGTAAAGTCTCTATATCTGTACAGAAGCTGCTGCTTTCTCCCTGGCTGCTCCAAAATTTAAATGTGAGCAAATGTACCCATCTTGTCCATGCAACTGGAGGTTCAGCCCTGCAACCTCTTCCCATGCAGAAATCATATGGACCTCACCGGGACCAGGTGCCCAGCAGCCCTGGGACAGGCCACTTCTGCTGAAACCTGGGCACAAGCAATTCAGGCCACCACAGCTCCAAGTTGTGGTGTGTCATCTCCTGCGGTGGCATTTCAAAACTTGCTTTAGAAATACAGGATGCGTGTTTTGTAATGAACAACCTTTTACCTGTTTCACTTCGGTGTTTATGACTGTGCTTTCAGGTTGTGCCATCTTCGGCTTTCAGCTTCAAAGAAAAAAAATACACTGATATATTACATAAGAAAGAAAAAATAAACTGATACATTATAATACAGCCAATCTAGAGAGGGGGAAGAGTGGACAACTTATCCACCAAGTGGAGCAGCCCAAATGAACCTGCTTCTGCTGACAATAGTTCTGCTCTGAGAAAACTTGGTCTCATAGTTCCAATTAAATATGATGGAAAAGTGGCTTTCCAACCACAGATCACTGTTGGGGTTTTTTGTGTTGTTGTTTTTGTTTGTTTTTTTTAGTTTTGGGTTTTTTTTTTTCCTCTGGGGTTAACTGCTGAAAGCAGTTGTGGAGCTCTTTTCCTAGAAAAGTCTGTCTTTAAAAGCCAAAATAGGTCAGATCTTATGGGTAGGCTTCTAGTTCACATCCTTATTGCCTTTCTTACTACTTTTGCTTGAGTGGTGAATTTGTATCCACAAATAAGCAATTTCCCTGCATGAACAGCTCATTTGCAGCTGTAAAAGGTCTGAGTAGGTAGAGATGTGTGGTGTGGCTTGGGTGCAGGATGGGACCCCTCTGATGGGGCTGGTCTGCTCCTCCGCAGCCCTGTGAGCCGGCCAGCCCCTACACTGAAGGTCTTGGTGCAGGCTGTGCTAACCCATCTGTCTGGCACATGAAAGTCCTGGGGGGGTTACATGGTCTGCCTGTGCCTAGCAGCTGCATCATAAATCTCATTTATTTTTGTACACCCAGGTCCTGTGGTTTCTGTAACCACCATGCTGTACACTTCAGTTCTATGCACTAGTCAGTGTTACAAGTGGACTTTTAGGATTCAGCCTGTGGGATGGGAACTGTTCCCATTCCCACCAAGGAGGATCCCATGGGGGTTATTTCCACCCAGAAGCTCCTACAAGTGTGCTGCAGGGTTTCTCTGGAGAGCAGAGGCAGCAATGACTGCTCTACACAGATGTGCTGGGAATGGCAAGGGGGTTAAAACCTCATGCACCACTTCATGCCCTACCTGATTACTGGGTTGGGGGCTGTGCAAGCATAGACCAAAGCCAGCACACAGTGTAAAGGGCAAGTCAGGGTCTCCAGGGAGACCCTTCTTTTGCCGCAATTTTCTTTAATTAATTTTTATTATTCAGGGACTCCAAAGTGTTGCCTGGGCTGGTAGGAAATGCGCTTGGCTGATGCCAGCTCTGAGAGCCTGAGCCTTGTCATGGGAGGCTCAGTGCTTGCAAGTGCACCCCCTGACTGCCCCCCAGGGTGGAAAGCCCTGCTGGCAGGGCTGCTCCCCCAGCCAGGGGGTGCCTGGAAAGCTAGGAGATGCTGAGCATCCCTCTGCTTCCTCCACCCACACCCCATGCTGGGAAGGGGTCTCCTCCCAGAGAGCAGGGCAGAGGGTGGCAACCACCAGCCCAGCTGAGCGGGGAGAAGCTTTCCTCTGACAGAATTTCAGCAAGTACTTTTCTGAAAGTGAAAATCAAGTGAGGGGACACGGAGCTGAGCAGCCCTTCCTGGACGGAGAACACCTCTAATTTCTGCTCTGTTCTTCCAAGTGCCGCAAACCAAATCTGACTTCCTCTTTCCATCTACCTGCCTCTAATAACTGCGGTATTGTTTACATACAGATATGTGTATATGCACATGCACACATCTCCACTGCGAGCACCCCCCATGCACACAATGCCAGGCACACAGGAAAGCATTTCAGGTGGATGCTTGCTGGTCCCTGCAGCTCATCTACAGCTGCGCAGCACACGGCAGGTATTACCCCACTGCACACAGACAGGATTTTGCCAGAGAGAAAACCCCAAACTCACCGCGAGTGCTGCCTCTGCTCCCTGGCGCAGCCCGTCCAGTGACAGCATCCAAACTTTGCCCAAGATGCTGCTGTTTATATTTCCCCCTCCCCGTGCCGGCAGGAAGCAGGCAGGAACCAGGCTGGGGTGCAGCTCAGCTCCCTGGCGTGCTGGGATTTGTAGGCAGCTGGGTGGGCTGGCGTCGTGCCCGGGCCAGGCTGCGTTTCTCAGCCGGCGCCGCACAGACGACTCGCGGCCGCCTGGGCCTGGCCTCGGCCATGGCCACGCTCTGGGGATGGGGCTGAGACCCGGTCCTGCTTTTTGGGCTCCTTCGGAGCTTGTGCTCAGTCGCCACTCGCTGCCCACAATCACTGCTGTGATGTCTATTTTTGTAGCCGGGGTATTTATAGCGTGCCTCCAGACCTCTCATTTTCCAGCATTTGAATACATAATGGTTGTGGTTTTGACCGAAAATATAGGGGTACCTGTTCAAGAGTGGCTTTTCCTGTAATGCAGGCGCA